TCCGGGCGTACTTTCATCGATATAAATAACGATTAATCACTTTTAAGGAGTTCTATCAGCCCGTAAAATTTCGTGACTGTTTAATAATTCATACACACCTCGTATACGTGTCCTTAACTAATAAATAACGTATTTGCGTACTTTCTTTTTTTTTTTTTTTTACATTGTTATATCTACGAAAAGAAAAAAAAAAGAAAAAATTAAATAAATGAATAAATAGTGTGTATTACACCGATAATGTTAGAGGAATGATAAAGTAGCATGAATGCGCCTATGTATTTTTTTTCATTTCTTTTTTCTTCTTTTTCTTTATTCCTTTTTATGCTGAATATTTACATAGCTACTATACGATTTAACTGAAAGAGAGAGTGAGAGAGAGAGAGAGAGAGAGAGAGAGAGAGAGAGAGAGAGAGAGAGAGAGAGAGAGAGAGAGAATGCCTGCGCGCGAGCGTGTTTGTATGAGTGAATGAGTGAGAGAGAAAGAGAGAAAGAGAGAGAGAGAGAGAGAGAGAGAGAGAGAGAGAGAGAGAGAGAGAGAGAGAGAGAGAGAGAGAGAGAGAGAGAGGGTAGAAGTGAGTAAGAGTAAAACGAAAGAGTGAATTAATAGGAGGAACAAGGAAAGAGAGAATATAATTAATTGAACGCGACAAATTTAATCAAAATGCGCACTCACGTAGTTTTAATATCCGACACGATTTATACCGATCAATAAGAGACAACATACACATTCTCTTCTCCCGAGACAGGAATACACGAATACCATATGTACATAAAATACATAGATACATAAGATACATAAGACCGTGTATCACTTGGTGAGATTAAAGCGATCAGTAAGTTCTTTTAATTGATCTGAAATTTCAACTTGTTGTCGGTTTAAACAAAGGTATTCCGTCTGATCTGTGCCAAATTAACACGTAGCCCTAATTTTTTTTTTCGTTCCTCCGTTAGAAACATACGTAGTTTTTCCGTGTGCGCACATATATGCATATACATATATACATATATAAATACAAACATACATACATATATACATACATACATACATACATATATACATATATACATACATACATATGTCGATGTAATGAAAAAGCAGAAGTCGATCGAGTCGTCCAATGCGTCGTATTAGGATCGATCGTTCTTCTCCTCCATCATCGACTCGTCGATCCTAACGAACCCTTTTTCGACTGAGACGATCCTTATGGATCTATGATAGATGTTTGTCACATGTTTTTTCTACGTCAAGAATTAAAAATAAACGAAAGGGAAAATGCGAGCAACGATAACGTTCGGAGATGTATCTGACGTTTTCGAAAGAAGAAAAAGAAAAAGAAAAAGAAAAAGAAAAAGAAAAAGAAAAAAAAAAGAAGAAGGGAAGTAAAGAAAAGAAAAAGAAAAGAAAAAAAAAGAAAAAAGAAAAAAAAAATACAAACCCGCACTTTGGATCCTTTTTACCTCGTATAATATATACGTACTTACTTTCGTATGATATATACGTATATTTATATATACGTAGTCGACCGGATGTTTTTTTTACGATTATACATACGTATATAGAAATATACGTATAAATATATATATACATATATATATATATACTATACACGTATACACATATATACATATGCATGCATAAGCATACAGAGAAGTAATTAAACATTTTCTCGTGCCTTTTGAAGGGAGGAACGATCGAGTTCGCGGGCCGAAACGATCGATAAATCTGCGACAGAAGAGATCCAATAAAAAGTTATTCATGAAACGCACATACAAACATATATGCGAACGTATTTATAAAGCGTGTCCTCTATATGTTCAGAATTTACTTACTTTTCTTTTCTTTTTGTTTATTTTTTTTTTTTCTTTTTCTTTTTTTTTCTCTCCTTTCGAGCAATTAAGATCCAATTCAACACAAATCATTGACGACGCATTAACGTTATCTTTCGATCGCGAATACTATTAACTATATCGTTACTATTATCGCTATTATTACTATTGTTATTGTCACTGCTGCCGCCGCTGCTGCTACTATTACTATTACTACTACTATTATTATTACTATTACTATTACTATTACTACTACTACTACTACTACTACTACTACTACTACTATCACAACTATTACCACTACTATTATCACTGCTACTGCTATTACTATTCCTATTACTGTCACTATTGCTGCTGCTCCTAGTACTGGTACTACTAAACTATTACTATTACTACTACTACTACTACTTACTACCACTACTACTACTACTATTATTACTACTACTACTACTACTACTACTATTACTATTACTACCACTACTACTATTATTCTTACTATTACTATTAACTATTAACTTTTTCCACGATGACGTTAAACGATGTATAAGAGCGATGTATAAGAGTTAAAACGTATGTATGCCTAAGAGAAATTAATTGTAGGGTATTCGTTAAGTATGTAAGTAAGTAAATAAACGAGCGAGCATGTTACTAAACCACATTGTCGTACCACATG